TATCATGTAAATTGGAATTTAAATTAAGACCCGGCCTCCATTTTTGGATAAAAATAGGGACATTTTTAAAATTCCATGGGCCGTTGTCAATCACCTTTTGGAGGCCTTCAACAGAATTAAATTTAAACAAGAAAATACCRTGGCCATTTAATAGCACATCTTCAATACCAAATTGAGACCACAATTTCGAAGCATAAAAGCGAACAACCGGGAAAGGAAGACGCTTACCAACAAAATAGCCACATAAGGTTTTAGCATACGTTTCACAGCTTTTCTTAACAACCGACACGGGAATATCAATGGGAGCGTCAACAATGTTACTAAGGTTAGGAATAAAATGAAAATTTTCATTAGCATGTTTTTTGGAACCACTAATAACATGAGCAAACGAATTAGGAAGCAATTTAGAATTTTTTCCATTCCAAGCCGATTTAGACGCAGATAATAAAATATCATCTTTTTGGGCCATAGCTAAAGGATGGGACGGCTTAATGTTCACCATAGGATCATCATGGCAATTAATAATGGGCACATTAGAATTAGTAGCATGCATGGGGGATGGGGGATGGGGAGAAGAAAAACTCAATGGCGGGGACAGCAAAGAAGCAGAAACATCCAAGGGAGAGTAATGAATATTTTTTGAAACAATAGGGGTGCCAACAGAAATAGGAACCTTACCTGGGCCGAGAAGGGAGGCCTGCAAAACAGATCCAGCAAAACTTGGGCCATACTTTGAGGGGTGCTGACCTGGGCTTGGGGAGACCGGACCAGGGGCTTTACCGAGTAAAGAAACTGGATTAGAGGCAGCAGCTAAGCAATGATCCATACCAGAATTATTATGGGCCGAGAGGTAAGGCCCAAGCACCGAAGGTAGGCCATCCACTTTAGAGAAAGAATTAGGAAAATATTCTTTAGAAATTGGGCTAGCACCAGGAACCCGGTCCACCTCCATTTGGGCTAAGTGAAAATTGTCTTCTAAAGCTGGGCTTTGGTTAATCATAGGCACCCTCCGGTTACCCACCTCGTCAACATTTTCAAAACAACCCACCTGCACCTTTTCTTGACCAACAGTAGATGACCGAAAGTCATCCCTATCTTCCAAAACATTAATGTGGTGGGTCCCATTTGCCTCCAAAGAGGAGTCCATCGGTTCATCCCTATCTTGAAAACCCTCCCCATGCAAGCTGGCATTAAACTCCATTTGACTAGTGCCTTCTCCAAGAAACCTACTTCCATCAGGTGGCCTTTCCAAAACACCATCAAAATCTAAAGGATAAACAATATTATCTTGATATCCACCACCTTGCAAGCTGGCCGAAGATTTCAAAGGACCCTCCTTTAAAGCAATAATATTATTTAATTGAACACCATCCCTCAAAGGACAAGAAGGTACTGACACCTCCATACTAGCTTGCGGCCACTCTTCTTCTTCCCCATGCTGCAGACTCTGACCCCCTTCTGCCATCCTAGTCTCTACCCCATCTTCATTTTGCCGCTTAGATTTGAAAAAGTTGCTCACGTCTTCCATATTTTCAGAACAGACAACGGCTCCAAACATGAACGTTGGGAGCGACGACTGTTGACTTTTTTGAAAAGCGACCGTTGGATCCTTGCATCGTCCTTCCTCCGTTTCACACTCCATTTCCGGCAGACCGGAAAAACTTTGTTCCTTAACARCAGAAGCAGCTTCACCATGGGAAAACGCCACAAAACTATCTGAGATCGCTACAGGCCTGCTAAACGAAGACGACGATGACCCATTCAGCAACRGATCATGAGATAGCCCCTTAACAGGAAGCCGCGACATGTGAGGCGGGATCTTTTGGTTATTGCAACGGGCAGCCACCAACCCGTCAGAAACGGGATTGGAAGAACGGAAGTCGATCGGATTCATAAAGCAACCAGATTGCTCAGTCATAGAWGAAGAAGCTTGCCCCTTGGATTTAGAAATAATGGACGGGAGAGCAAGAAAACCCAGATCTGCATTTTTTCCACATTTCYTCTTCTTTTTTTCAGAAACTTCATGGTTCCCTCCCAGGTTAAGCACCACAGCAACATCTGCCATTGGGGGGGGGGGCAGCATACTTACTTAAGTCTCCAACCTCTTCACCATTAGGWTCAAATCTAACGGGACTAGGAACAAGCCGATGAACATTCACCTTCTCAAGCCTCCGAAGCTTGCAATTTTCTTCAAAGTTTTCAACCTCTCCTTGATGAGACCTAGGAAGAGGGTTAGAAAACTTAATACGCTTGATGG